GGATTCAAGACCAGCCTGAGCCAGCCTTGTCTCTAAAAATAGCCAGATGTTGTGGCAGGCACCTGTGTCCCAGGTACTCGGGAGGCTGAGGCAGGCAAGAGAATTGCTTTAGCCCAAGAGTTTGAGGTTGCTGTGAGCTATGATGCCATAGCACTCTACCAGGGGTGACAAAGTGAGACTGTCTCAAAAAAATAATAAAATAAAATAAAAATAAAAATAGCTGGGTGTTGTTGCAGGTGCCTATAGTTCTAGCTACTCAGGAGGCTGAGACAAGAGAATTACTTGAGCCCAAGAGTTTGAGGTTACTGTGAGCTAAGATTCCACCGCACTCTACTGAGGGCAAAAAAGTGAGACTCCACCTCAAAAAAATAAATAAAAAATAAGGTTGATTTTTAAATTTCCTGCATCCAAGTTTGTGATGCCCTTCATTGGCTAAGCCCTCCCAAAAGCCAAAAACAAAAAACAAAAAAGAGCCATGCCAGTTCCCATTCTAGGGGGGTGCTCACAAGAGAACTTGATTGTCAAATCTGTGCCTACAGAGGAAACCATTCCACTTCCTTGTTTTTCTGCCAACAGAAACAATTCATGGTGGCTGTCCCATTTCCTTTTTCCTAGCATATCAAGTCTGGCTCTGAGAGTTAAAGCAGAAATAGAGAGACAAAGAGTTCAGGGCTCTTATGCAATTCTGCCTTTTCTAGCTCATACCTTCATGCTAGAAAGAACATACCCCTGGCTCAAATAATGGTTTGGTTTTATACCAAATAATGGTATGGTTTTATACCAAAACATTATTGTATTGCTACAGATCAATTTTGGGCTAGTCTAATATCCAAATTCACTGCCAAGACCAGACCTAATATAGGAAGAACAAGAAAAAACTAAAACACTTGCTTGAGAGGGGCCAGTTGCCCCTTAGCCAGGATGAATTATTCTAACAGGAACTATTTAGGAATGTTCTATTTATTAATTCTTTGTGCCAGGATGAATTATTCTAACTGGAACTATTTAGGAATGTTCTCATTGTTAATTCTTTATGTAACTCTTAGAGTAGCATACTTTAAATCAGTGGTTCTCAACCTTCCTAATGCCGCAATGTATTTTCATTGTTAAAAACGGGTCACAACCCACAGGTTGAGAACTGCTGCTTTAAATGATTTAAACTGGTGACTTTTTTTTTTTTGAGACAGTGTTTCATGCTGTTGCCCCATGCTAGAGCTCACAACAACCTCAAACTCTTAGGCTCAAGCAATCCTCCTGCCTCAGCCTCCTGAGTAACTGGAACTACAGGTGCCCACCACAACATCTGGCTAGTTTTTCTATTTTTAGTAGAGATAGTCTCACTCTTTCTCAGGCTGGTCTCGAACTCCTGAGATCAAGTGATCCATAAACTAGTAAATTTTTAGTTCTAATTTACCTCTATTCTTGATTATACAACTCAATAGCAGAACATTTTTAACTCAAATAATATATTGAACAATTCATATATTCAACTAGACAGACTCACCCCTCATTTCCACTAGGCCATATGTAGATGATTCACTCCTCGGATTAGCTGTACTATTTTTTTTAGTTGTGCTAAATTTTATATTCCAGAGAGTTCTATTCTATTTTGATTGAACAGTACTTACTAAAATATCTTCTTCATTCTGTGTTAGGTGTGTGTGTGGGACGAGAGGGATGCAAGGGGGGGAAAGTGCTGTACACAAATAAGAAATAGGAGGCTTATCCTTTCATGGAAATAAGACAAACCAGTGAAACTTGAAGTCAAAGCAGTATACAATTAAGGGAGAACATAGGGATAGAGACACCAGGAATGGCAGAGGTCCAAAGGATGAAGTTGGTAAGGTCAGAGGGTCAGATT